GAGCGAGAGTGCCGTGGGAAAACGACATCATTGACCTGGATTTCTCGGGGGGGGTTGGTGTCCCGTGAACGCACTAGGGCGGCTTCGGAGCCCGTTGGTGAGGCTCGGCAAACTAGGCTTAGTGGCAGTCCTGAGAATCCTCCCAACCCAGACGACAAAGCTCTCCTTCTATCCATCCACAATCCTTTCTCCTCTGCCACCTTCTCCCCAATTATATCTCTCCTTCAGAGAAACCACTCTCCCACACCTCTGAACCCCCATCACAATGTTCAGGAACGCTTTGCGGCAGTCTAGCCGCACCGTTGCGGCTGCCACTGCCACTGGCAGAATCGCCTCGGTGAGTCTCATCCCTGCTCAGGTCGACCTCATCGCATCAATATGGTCGTTTCCATCTCGAGAAAACATCTCAATCGGTGCTCGAATCGCCCAACCATACGTCGACATACTTTTTATATTGGTTTCACGCATTGTGGTTGGATTGTGCTGGCGTTGACAAATTTTGCGTCTCGACAGGTTCGCGCGGCTGTTCCCGGCCCCCTCGCCGGTGCCTCCAAGCAGGTCCGTTCCTACGCTGCTGAGGCCAAGGCTTCGCCCACAGAGGTTTCCTCCATCCTTGAGCAGAGAATTCGTGGTGTTCAGGAAGAGGCTGGCCTTGCTGAGACTGGACGCGTCCTTTCCGTCGGGTATGTGCTAGATTAATGCTGGCTGAAAAATTCGCACCCCGCCGCATTTTCATCGAAATCGTCGAATAAGACAGATATTCCGCTGTCTCTTCAGTTGTGACAGTTGACTGATATGTTTTTGCCTTATAGTGACGGTATCGCTCGTGTCCATGGCATGACTAATGTCCAGGCTGAGGAGCTGGTCGAGTATGTATCACCTTTTGATGAAGTGTTGCGTACCTCAGAAAACTGACAAATGATCAGGTTCGCCTCCGGTGTCAAGGGTATGTGCATGAACTTGGAAGCCGGCCAGGTCGGTGTTGTGCTTTTCGGTTCCGACCGTCTCGTCAAGGAGGGTGAGACCGTCAAGCGTACTGGAGAGATTGTACGTTACGTTTCCTGATATCGTGCCATTTTACCCTTACGATATACTTACAACGCGCACAGGTCGACGTTCCTGTCGGTCCCGAACTCCTTGGCCGTGTCGTTGACGCCCTTGGTAACCCCATTGATGGCAAGGGCCCCATCAACACCAAGGCCAAGAGCCGTGCTCAGCTCAAGGCCCCTGGTATCCTGCCCCGTCGTTCCGTCAACCAGCCCGTCCAGACTGGTCTGAAGTGTGTCGACTCCATGGTCCCCATTGGCCGTGGTCAGCGTGAGTTGATCATTGGTGACCGTCAGACTGGTAAGACCGCTGTTGCTCTCGATGCCATGCTTAACCAGAAGAGATGGAACAACTCTTCCGACGAGAGCAAGAAGCTGTACTGTATCTACGTTGCAGTCGGTCAGAAGCGTTCCACTGTCGCTCAGCTCGTCAAGACCCTTGAGGAGAATGACGCCATGAAGTACTCTATTGTCGTTGCTGCCACTGCTTCTGAGGCCGCTCCTCTCCAGTACCTCGCTCCCTTCACTGGCTGTGCCATGGGTGAGTGGTTCCGTGACAACGGCCGCCACGCTGTCATCGTCTACGACGATCTTTCCAAGCAGGCCGTCGCTTACCGTCAAATGTCTCTGCTGCTCCGTCGTCCCCCTGGTCGTGAGGCCTACCCCGGTGACGTTTTCTACCTGCACTCCCGTCTGCTCGAGCGTGCTGCCAAGATGAACGATAAGCACGGTGGTGGTTCCCTTACTGCTCTGCCCGTCATCGAGACCCAGGGTGGTGATGTCTCCGCCTACATTCCCACCAACGTTATTTCCATCACCGACGGCCAGATTTTCCTGGAAGCCGAACTTTTCTACAAGGGTATCCGTCCCGCCATTAACGTCGGTCTTTCCGTCTCCCGTGTCGGTTCCGCTGCCCAGGTCAAGGCCATGAAGCAGGTCGCTGGTTCCCTGAAGCTGTTCTTGGCTCAGTACCGTGAAGTCGCTGCTTTCGCTCAGTTCGGTTCCGATCTCGATGCCTCCACCAAGCAGACCCTCGCTCGTGGTGAGCGTCTGACCGAGCTCCTCAAGCAGAAGCAGTACTCTCCCATGGCTGTCTCTGAGATGGTTCCTCTCATCTTCGCCGGTGTCAACGGTTACCTCGACGGTATCCCCGTCAACAAGATCCTCACTTGGGAGTCTGACTTCCTTGCCAGCGTCAAGAGCAACCAGCCCGAGCTCCTTGAGACCATCGACAAGGAGGGCCAGGTCAGCAAGGAACTTGAGGCTCAGCTCCGTGAAGTCATTGAGAACTTCAACAAGTCTTTCAACGCATAGGTGAGCAAAAGGCAATTGGGTGATTGATCCACCGTGTACTGTTTTTTCCTGACGCTATGTGTATAGACAAGATAGCTTGTACAATTTGATTCCACTGTTTTTCTCTTGTTTTCAAAGCTTCCGAAACGGGCTCGCCCCAGAGCAAGTGTAATCTCGGCTCGGTCATTGCACTCTCGCCTTTCCTGTAGCGATGAAACTCTAGGATGACTGTGCGGAGACGAAAATCAAAAAGATACGATTAATATCCTGTACGTTTAGATCTTTTTGGGCGACAAGGGAGTGGGACATGAGGGGATGTTTGGATTGTCAACCTATCCTTCAGAAAAGAGGGTACTGTCCAATTAACCTTTCATAGCGCAGCTTCTTCGTTACCATTATGCAGCCAGAAATATGATTTCCTTTGTGTCTACCTAAATTCTATGTCCGCGCGAATCGGGCAAGCTCTCTTTGAGCTTTTCACATCTGAGCCACATGCAGATCGACCAACCCCAAGCAGCCGTAAGAGCACATAACTATCATAGGTACCTATTGACAGAGACGGGTTTATCGGGATGTCGGACGACTTACAATTCTGTCGAATTATACCCGACGCTGACTGAATGGAACTATGTATGATTTGCGGAGCATACGTTGTTGCTGATTCACAAAGGCGAGGTAAGCCACTTGAACGAACGAATGGTATTGATAACTGTTTCTCACTTTGAACCCCAGCGATACAAGGAATATATACTTTTCCTTTGGCCCACAGCCATATCCTTCAATTTGCGCTGGTCTTCTGCTCCCTCTTGCCGTGGGCCGAATGCGGCGTCTGCTTTATCGATAAGCGAGCAATCTTTTCCGTTCCCAAAATTTGTCAATGCCCCTCCGTAGTTTGATCTCCGCAGAATACCGACTAGTTTCTCACCTATCTCCAGATTATATCACAGTAACCGCGCAGATGGCTACTCACGCTGACTCAGTGCATCCAGCTTGCAAGGTCGTGCTTTCTAAGAACGTTGCAAATAGCCTCGTTGCGGAGGTACAGGAAGGTGTCAAGACCTTGGAGAAGCCGCCTCATCTTGTCGGATTCCTGGCCAACGATGATCCTGCGGCATTGATGTATGCCCAGTGGACTGAGAAGACATGTCAAGAAAAGTGAGTGTCTATCCATTCCTGCATTTTTATGCGTCAATTGCGCCCTTCTGTCTCTTGTGTTCCCTACGCCATCAATTGCGATCTCGGAGCATGGCATAGCATCGTTCTGAGTCACCTTATCGTAGCTAACGTAGAAGTTCCTTGAAACAGTGGATTCCGTTACTCTTTGCGCCAAGTGTCCCGCGACGATATCGAAGATGCTATTCTGGCTGCCAATGCCGACTCAGACGTTGACGGCATCATCGTATACTACCCTATCTTCAATAATCGCCAAGACCAGTATCTTCAGCAGATCGTCGACGTATCCAAAGATGTAGAAGGTCTCAGCCATCGTTACATCTTCAACATGTACCAGAATATCCGTTTCCTTGACCCCGAAACCAAGCGGCAGAAGTGCCTTCTTCCTTGCACCCCCCTGGCCATCATCAAGATCCTCGAGTACCTCAACATCTACAATACGATCCTACCGTACGGAAACCGGCTGTTTGGACACACTATCTGCGTGGTGAATCGCTCAGAGGTTGTTGGCCGGCCACTTGCGGCTCTGTTGGCGAATGACGGAGCTTGTGTCTACAGCGTGGACATCACCGGTGTCCAGAAGTTCACTCGTGAGGGTCTCAAAAAGCGTAGGCACGAAGTCGTGGACCTGGAAGGAAAGACAATCAAGGATGTAGCCCCTCTGTGCGATGTTGTCATCACGGGTGTTCCCAGCGAATCGTACAAGTTCGACACAAGCCTCCTTCGAGAAGGCGCCGTCTGTGTCAACTTTTCTAGCGAGAAGGTAAGCTTTCGATATTGTCCAAATGCCAACTGGGATTCAGACAAGTTAATGTGCCGCACAGAACTTCGGCCCAGAAGTAAAAGAGAAGGCATCCATCTTCGTTCCTTCGATCGGCAAGGTGACTATCGTGGTTCTGCTCCGGAACCTCTTGGTGAGTGACATCTAGCCAAGCGTACTGATGGATAATTGGGCTGACAATGGGTTACAGAGATTGATTCAAAACCGGAGATTGGATGACGTTAAACCGGCTGAAGCCACCGAGCGTCCTGGAACTCTGGAGGCCGCTTCGTAATTACATTATTCAACAAAATGCGACATGCAACGGGAGACGACAACTAACAAAGCCACATGACAATCATAGATTTCCTTTCTTGTGTTCTGTTTCAATTCTGTTCCTCAAAAGAGACTCGACAATGGTTGTTTTCTCGTGTATATGACCCGTGATATGAGCCTGTTCTATGAAAAGGTCTTCATGTCAAGCATCTGAAACATATTGAAGTGACTTGCTCTCACGAAGTGTCTCCTTGTCCGAGGGATTTGCTGCATAGAAAGTACTCAAGAGTATGGACTAGGACAGTGTCCAAATAGACGTCACAGAATCATTCGTGTGCAAGGCATTCATTCAGTTCGAGCCGGATGGCATGTGATCTTGTCGGCGATCCCAGCTAGAAACAGTTCAAATTCATTGAGTCCGAGTCACATTCTCAAGAAAGAAAGCCATGTCATCACTTCTTGTTATTGGTATCCTGCACTCCTACAACACTTCCAACCCCGCCAGTTTTCCTCTCTGTTTCCTTAGCCGCAAGTCGTAGCACCTCAATCTCGGTGGAAAGCCAGCGTCGCAGTGGTCCAGGGTGGAAAGTTCCGTCCGCGGAAAACCAGTTCATAAATGGGGCTTCGATCTCCTTTTCTTGGAGAATCTTGTTGGAGGGCGACGTGTACTGTACGCGGAGCTTGTAGAGAGGGGAGTGTTTCTTCACAGAAGACCGAATTGAAATCTAGTTGGAGAAACAGTGAGCTTGGTTTGTGATTACAGAAAAGGACGCTGTAGACTATACCGTTTCACCCGACTTTCGCTTGCCGCGAAAAACCTCGCCAGCTTCAACAGCCCAAATCCAGAATGTGAGGCCGGTGTTCAGGATAAAGTATGAACACACTGCTGCTATAACCCATGGGGAGGTAGTTGCTTCCCATCCAAGTTTGCGATCAGCGTAGAAAGTGAATGCAGCGATGGCGACTGCGCTGTAGCCAAGGAGGAATCGGACATTGGATTTAGAGTGGTCTTGTTTGAAGGTATACGGTTGAGGAAGGGTACACAAGTACGGGACAAGGGCATCATCTGTGGTTGATTTCAGATCTAAATATGGTTGTTAGCGACGGTTATCAAGAGATTCGCGTACCATGTCCTGTATGAGGAACCTAAATAAAGCTTGATGTAGCTGTTTGGAGCATAGAGGACTAACCGTTAACAGAGTAAACAGGCACCTTCGGCGCCGAGGAGGTTGCCATTGTGAGCTATAGATTTCGATTAAAATCAATTTGGAATATGATAGAGCACCGCTAGAAGCCACAGTGCAATTCAGATGCTCTATAATTTCAGGCGTGAGAAATCGAGCAGTGGTGTTTATCTGGCAGCGAGGAGTTGCGGCGAGCTGGCCCTTTCGCGGAGAGCTGAGCTAAAGCGGCATGCCAGCCAACGTTAGTAAACCCGCTTTGTCTGAGCTCGCGGGGGCTGCCGCATCATCACTGGCGACTTTCTTTACAACCTCAATTCTCATTGAACCGGTGGCCAAACGTCTGCTCAAGAGGTCTCTGGGTTCACAATGGCTTTACAAGGGGTTGAGCAGACCATCCTACGGGATCCAGCTCTGTTGTGAGTGGTATCCCCGTTGACATGTCGTGGACGAAGGACTGACGTAGATTGTCAAAAAGCTATTGGATCCTGTTCCCCATCACCATTGTCATGGTAAGTTTTGTGGACTATATATAGTCTTGTGATGCTGGCTGATACCGATGCTCTGTGAAGATATTGACAGGTATTCTTCGCCATTATGCGACGGTTTTGATGACCACCCCCCCGAAACCTCCGGCGACACTTGCCGAATCTAAAGAGCGTCTTTCGCTTCTGCGAGGAGTCAACCTGCGTAACAATGCTCCCGCAGTGCTATCGCGGGAAGGCTTCGAGATGCGAAAGAACTACCTGATCTCTGCATACAAAAGCGGTGCCTTCCTTAAAGACCCTTCCAGCCGCGGTCAGCCACCTGCGAATCCAATGACCGATCCTGCGGGCATGGAGGCCATGATGGGAATGATGAAAGGAAATATGATGATGATGATCCCACAGACCTTGATCATGAGCTGGATCAATGCATTCTTTTCGGGATTTGTCATTCGTATGTTACCTTTTTGCAACGGAGTTGAGCTCGCTTGTGCGCTAACAGAGTCGGCACAGTGAAACTGCCCTTCCCGCTCACAATCCGATTCAAATCAATGCTCCAATCCGGTGTCATGACCCGTGACCTGGATGTCAGATGGGTGTCTAGTCTTTCGTGGTACTTCTTGAATCTGTTCGGGCTTCAGTCAGTCTTTGGCTTCATTCTCGGCAGCGATAACGGTGAGAGACGTCCCCACCATACCTTGCAGCTTTACCATACTTCCTGTTACTTTCTTTCGAATGGACACATGCTGACTCTTCTGATGGTGCAGCTGCCAATCACATGGCTCAGCAAATGGCTACTATGAACCCTGGCGCAGGAGTCAATCCGTTCCAACCTGGCCAGGATCCAGACAAACTGTACCAGAGTGAAGCGGAGAACTTGGAAGTCACGGAGTTCTTTAGCATTCTGGACGGGATCGAGGAGAGAGTCCTACATAACTATGCCTCAAAGGAAATTCGCTGATTGGTGTTGGGTGCGCGGAAAGAGTTCTCCCTTATACTGTTTTATATTCATATAGAGGAGACCCAAACAGAGTGTCTTTTAATTCTCTAGACAATTCAATATCATGGTGTTGGCTATCTAATATCCCGGCTATCCTTCATAACAGGCAAATGAGAAAATGAATACTTCAGGGGACTGTTGGACATGGCAAGCCTTTTGTGCACAAAGACGTGAACGTAGATTATGGTATATAAAGAAGTCATTCAATGCATAATTCATCCATCCCTCCGGATATACATCGAGGGTTTTGTGTGGTAATTGCTCGAATGGTGCAGTACTTCGCAAGCAGAGGATTTCAACGGTAGTTGATGACACCGTTCAAAATCCAAAGCTCGCCGTTTATCACTGTCTCAGCGATATTGTCAACCTCAACATTGCCCGGTTGGATCTAAGGAGCGTCAGTAGAGATGCACAATAGGTGATGAGGGTGAAGAAATACACACATATATCTTATCGCCATTTCTGATCCACTTCAGTTTCTCCCCTCCAAGAGTCTCCATCTCTTCACCCTCCCTCCATGGACTTGCTGGAATTATATGAGCCTCCACGAAACGTTGTAAATTCTGCTTCGCTCTATCTTCACCTTCCTGTCCTTCATATGCGCTCACCCCACCAAACTTCTCGTAGTCTTCTGGGTTCTCCCAAGGCTTGCGAGGCAAGCTTTGAATAGCACTATTCCGAGGAGCTAGGACAGTAATATTTTTGGATGAATCGTTAAGACGTGATTCAATAGGCTCAAACTGCCGGGTGAGAGAAGCAAATATATTGATGGCACGGTTCTTGGGAAGAACATCAGAGACAACGGGCTTCTCACTGTCGTCCTCCCTCGACGAGGAAGAGAACATCTTGTTCACTACCGGCTGTTGTCTGGAAAGCCAAATTCTTAGTTCAGTATCGTCCTGCAGGCCTTGTTCGTGCCGTAAGTGAAGGATGTCTACAAGTGAACGTGGGAGACGCTTGCGCAGACTGAACCTCGAAGGCAGACTCAAATTGGCAATTACTGAGCCGATGAAGCAAAATGCAATGACAAATAACACGAAGGGTGTCCGCCGCATCTTGACGAGAAATGGTGTCTCGGTTTAGAAGACATAGCATGCCTGCGAGTCCAAGTTAGTGGCCCATGACGCAACCAATGCCACTGCCACACCTTCCTTTTGTGGAAGGGACCAACACGTGATGTGGAGCTTAACGCACGTGACGTCTATCGATAAGGGCAGTCGTTCGGTGTCAACCACAAAAAGCGTCATGTCCCGATTACGGAGGAGGGGAATTTGTCTGCCCCTCATTCTTGTACCGGGTGCCAATCGATTGACACAATGTCGGCTCTGCAGACGTTTATGTTGGTTGTAGACCACGATAAAGCAGAGGCTAAGCAGATTGCTGAGCGGGTTGCTCAGGGTATTGTTTCCCCGCGGCCCCAGTTCAATATACTTGGATACTAATGGATTGCTCTTAGATGTGGAGAACAAAAGGACGACACTTATTGAGGTTGTACAGTCACTCGGAGAGTATATCAACGATGAAGATCCCATATTGCGAGGCAAAGCTGTCTCATACCTCACTGCTGTGATCAGAGCACTTCCTCCGAAGTATCTATCAAGACAACAGATCCAAGTGCTCACAACGTTCTTCTGTGACCGCATTGAAGATGGAGGGGCTGTCGCTGGACTGGATACACTTCAGAAATTGGATCGCTTTAACGATGCGTTAGCCGAGGAAGTAGCACAGGCGTAAGTGCTTCGCGGGGCCTCGACCTATAGACTATACATCGCCCGCCTTTAAATCATTTCCAATGCAGTGGTTTAGTCGCAGAAGCAACTGACTATTCTTCAGTGTCTTCGAGGGCCTACAGGACTTACAGTCTCGGTCACAATCGCAAAGATTCCAGGTATACCAATTGTTGAATGAGTTGATGTCGAATCATCGGGCCGGTACGCATTGCAGCACTTGAACTTCAGTGATATTGCCCATACTGAGTTATACTAGCTCTTCACAAGATGGGGGATACATCTCTCGTCGGGATCGTTGATCTCATGACTGGAGAGAAAGATCCCCGGAATCTTATGCTTGTTTTCTCCATCTTGAAGGTGGTCATGATTGAATGGGATATCTCAAACCACGCCGAGGTATGCTGTTCGTCTCTGCAAATTCCCAGTTCGACAGCTAACGTCTGAAGACTCTTTTTGAAGCCGTTTATAATTACTTTCCGATTACCTTCAGACCTCCTCCAAACGATCCATACGGGATTACGGCGCAAGACCTGAAGGACCGTCTACAGGACTGCATTTCCTCAACTAGTCTTTTCGCTCCCTACGCTATTCCTGCCCTTCTGGATAAACTGGATTCCACTTCACCAAATGTCAAGGTATGCTTTTTCACAACCCATATGAGCCCTTTCTACTTAGGATCGGACTAAGAAGCTCCTAGAAAGATGCTCTTAACGCATTAATTGCGTGCATCAGATCGTACGACCCGGATACTGTGTCTAAATATTCGATCCAAATATGGGACGTATTGAAATTTGAGATCCTTAATGCACAAGAGGAATTTCTCGCAGAGCTTTCCCTTCAGGCTCTGAACTGCATTGCTAAACGGTTGTCCGAGGGCATTGCAGCAATATCCGAACAGTCACCGCTCGCACAGTTTCTACGGCCAATCACGAAAGAATGCAATGAGCAATTACGAGAACCCCAGCAAAAGCAGGCCAAGCCTGCGCAACAGATCCTGAACTCAACATCATCTGCTTCTACAGCTTCGTTCACAGTGATTGTGCAGGCTGCTGTCGCTCCGCTGTTGACGGTTTATCAGGAGGCCGATGGGCTTGCCAAACAGAGAGCGATACTGGAAACCCTCGGGGGTCTCTTTGATTCAGCCATCAAAGTTTTTGGGGAATGGGACTCGCATGAGCCTGAACCCGCCGCTGGAAACGCTCTGGTCGAATTTAAAGATCAGTTCTCGGATGTCTTTGGTCAAGCATTGATGGGAGCAGCGAAGGAAGAAGTCTCCTTCCGAGTAACCGCTCTTGAAGGGTTTCTGCGTCTGGCCATCCTGAGAGATTACTTCCAAGACAACGAGATCGGCTTGTTTGTGCAATACTTGGATGAAATTCTGTTACAAGAGGAATCTGCGGGCCGGGATGACTTGAAGAAGAAAGCCATCGCAGCTTTGGCTGATATATCGAAGCACAAGCCACGATTAATCATGGATATAACATTCCCTGCCTTTGTTGCAACTCTGCCCGACTCTGACGGAGGGCCAAACACGGACTATATAACGACACTTGAGAACCTCGCACAGATCAGTGTTGAAAGGGATATTTTCGAGACATTAGTCCGACGTCTACTCAGCAAACTGACCATATTGCTTCAAAAGGAACGCGCTGGATCTATAGCATATCCTCGCGCAATTCTCACGACCATTTTATATGTGATGAAACAGAGGAATCTGGATAAAGATCCAAACCTGGAACTCTACTATGACAAGATCGTAACAGGCCTCTGCCGTGGCGTTGCAGACGCGGCCACAGGAAAGTCTACGAATCGGATCTTGAATGACGCAGTTGTCATTGATATTCTTGGAAGGCTTTGCAATGTCATTGTCAGGTGTCTGTCGAAGCAAAAACAAGATGAAGTTGCGCAGAACGTCTACACTCTGTTTGCTAGCTCGAATACATTTACGCCGGTGCCATTCTCGCAAGCAGCAAATGAGGATCAACAGCGCACGATGATTATCTCGACATATCTTCTTGCAGGGCTTCCAGCAGACTGCGCACACCTCCCGTATACCGGCCGCGACTTGTCACCTCTCCTTTCGGACCTGGTGACTCGATCCTTGACGGAGAGCGAGCCACCAACCCATCTCGCCTTTCTTCGTCATTCTGCCTTGCTTGTGAACAAATTCCTTCCAAGATCCGAACTTAGCATCGCTACGGAGATACTGAGCAACCTGTTCTCTGCTGGTGCCGAGGAGAAAAAGGTACCTTCGGGAACAATCAAGACGATATTTTGGCTCTCGAAGGCTCTCATCCTACGTCTTGCGCCAACGACCACGGAAATACTGACCTCTCTTTTGTCACTACTTTCGTCCCCCGATGAGATGACAAGTACCACTGCTGCTCGCGGCTTCGCCATTCTCCTTAAGGACGATGACGTCCTTTCAGTTGACAACGGTGCAAACATCAGACTTTTAGCGAAACAGCGTGTCTTCACGACATTGACCCCCCTAATCTCGAACCGCATTCGCGAGGTCAATGTCGCAGGCGATGACTCGTCTACGCCCGCACACATAAAGCCAGCACATCTCACTGCCTTATCAGGAATACTCTCCACCATTTCGCCTTCATTGGTCATGCCGGAGCTCCCGACACTGCTTCCTCTTCTCCTGCAAAGCCTGGATCTGCAAACCGCAGACTCACAGGCCGTCCGTGCTGCAACACTCGAGACTCTCGCCGTAATCATCCGCGAAAATGGCGTCGGCGTTATCGAGGAATGCGGCCATGTTCAAAGCTTAGTCACCCGGCTTCTGAAGACAGCTGCATACAATCCCACGCCTACTGGGTCGGACCAGCAGGCTGCCGGTGCCGGCCCTGTAAACGGACCGCGACTACGGGTTGAAGCACTTAGATGTCTGAACTTGTTGGCTCAGACCCCTAAGATAGACGCCCCAGCTGTTGCGAAAGCCGGTAAACTGTCCCCGCTTCTACCAGTGAAGAATCAAGCGGTGCGTTCTCTGCGTATGATTCTAGATGATCCAAAACGGGATGTGCGGAAAGCTGCAGTTGATGCTCGGGGCGCCTGGCTTCGTAACGTCGATGATGCTCCTGATGAAGAGGACTGAGGGATTGTGATGTTCGTTCTGATGCCTGTCCTCAGCATGGATGTACTGTTCTATATGATATGCGTGGTATTTGGTAGTAGATTCATCTCGTAAAAATATAGACCGTTGGATTCGCCACAATCAAGCATTCTATCAGTTACACCGGCACTGTCGAAAGGACTATAGGCCTTGATCAGAAGGATGACGCTGAACTTGTTCTAAAAGGAATTGGATCATGTTCTGTTGTAGAAGAAGAATACTGCTAAGGCTATCTGCGGTTCGTTTCCATATCCTTCTTCTCTCATACTGTTGCTTCGTCTTCTGGTTATAGTCAGTTGTCCCTTCTCTAGGTCTCATGTCAATAGCCTTCCTCATTCCCAGCGGCCCCATTCTTTCAATCATCGGTATCTTGTAGGATGACCCAGAACAACGATGATCGGAGCACCAGCAATTACCAATAGTCGATCTCGAGTTGCTCTTTGTCTTTCACGGAAGACCCACCGGAAGACTTCTTAGTCAATGTAGTGACCATGACGCTTCCGAATTCCTTGATGCTTTCGAAATCATCGAATTCCAAGCTTCTTGGCTCAAGTCGAACCGTCTGATCTAGAGTGCCAACGGAACCGGCGACCGACGGCGCCTGGACTGAATCATGGTCCAAACCGTGGCCCCAGAATCCGACACCGTCCATTTTCTCGACAACAGTTTTTGTCAACCGCAGAAGATCTCCGAGGCCAGCGATGCCAATGGCCTTGGCCACAGGGCTGAGCGTCGTATTCGGGCCATAGGACTCAGCCGCATTCCCATCAAGGAGGACGGCATCTCTTCCCAGCAGGTCAGAACTCCGCCATTCGTCAGTTCGTTCTCCAATTTCAAGGTTCGCATTCGTTCTCAGAATGGCTTCGATAGCCGAGCTTACAAGGGACGCTTCATACCATTGGCGGCCGTTTCCTGTCATTTCAGGTAGCGAAGCACAGCAGGCTGTCACCAACCGAACGTCGGACGAACTGGATCCAATACAAAGATCTTGCACTTCCATGACTTGAAGAAAGATATCTTGATTCTCCATAGCCTCTGCTTCGTTTTCCACGGATGACTGGCTCTTGTCAGTGGAATTGCTATTCAAGTCAGTCTCCGCTGTTCTAGCACTATTGCTCCTGATATGACTGGCGCGCTTGGCGGCAATGATACTCTTCGGAGGACGGATGAATCGATGACGCGTCCAACGCTTCATGTATACTTTCTCAATCGTGATCTTGTCACCTGGAGGTAGCCGTGTGAAGATCTGCACAAGTGAGGTATCTGGTTGAACCCACAGGTGCTCAATGAGGTACTTCGCCGCCGCCTCAAACTCTCGGTCAACAGCTGCATCGCTTGGGGTACCACTAAGAACGACACTTGCATCCCAGACTTGGCGTGGAAAGTGCAAATTGACAGCACCAAGCCCAACGTTGGGATTTTTGATGTTGAATTTTCCTTGCTCATCCACAGATAGGACGAGCACCTGACCGGTTCGAGTGCGACAGTGGAACTCGTAGAACACGCTGTATTCGCTGTAGTCCTGCTCAAAAATGCGCCTTTTCCCTTCAGGTGCAGATGTCTTCAGATCAACCAGATAATCAATATCAATGCCAGAGGTCGTAAGTCGGCTAATAAATTTGGTTGTCGGAGAGGGAATGCCAGTTTGTGACTGGAAGATCTTCGTCCATTCGGTCAAAGAGACGGTCGAGCCTTCACTACAAGTCTTTGGCAGAAGCGGTATCAGTATCAGTCCGAGCTGGACTTCCAAGTTCAGAGATCCTTGAAAGTATTCAGCAGCTTCCAATGTTTGCTTCAAGGCTTCAAATAAATTCTCGACATCTCGAGCCATGCTATTTTCTGCTGGCTCTGCAGCCAGCTCGTTCTTTCTGCACCCAGCCACATTGACGGCCTCTCTTTCGCTCTTCTGGGTACCTTTCGGCATTGGCGTCAGAGTCTGCGCATCTGCCGATGGTTTTTTCACTGGCTTTTTGAAGAATCCCCAAGCATCCTCAAGCGTGGCCTGTCTTTTCGCTTTAGTCTCAGATTTGCTCTTAGCTTTATTTGTCGGCTTTGCCGTCTTGTGACCCATGGTACGATAGAACTCTCTGGTGCTTGTTTCATCAGACCCTTGTCTATCTTGGTCTCGATGAATAGTTTCAAGCTTTGCCAGGCTTTCCTTCACCAGCAGCTTGTTGAATTCATACCTGGAGGGGTGTGTTTGACCATGACCGCCGTGATAGGGTATCTTGTCTGTCCGCTCTTGAAGGAACTTTTTCAGAAATGATAATCTGTTTTCCTGCTCCTGGTGATTTTCGTCACCTGCTGCTGAACGGCCAAAAATAGATTCGGTGCTGCCGGAGCCAGAAGGAATGCTATGAACTTCCATCCCGCAGCTTGGAAGACCAATCTTGATGTTCTTGGAATTCGCATCAGACATCTCCTGCAAACACATCTTTCGGGTGTTCGAGGTAAACGCATTGACCGGGCTGTCGGGAATTAATGGAGGCTGATTGAACTGGATTCGAGAAAGAGTGCCAACGACAGTATTATTTGCGGGCTCAAAGACGTCGATTAGCTCGTTAGGGTTGCTTGGATTCTTCTTTGACTTGACATGCATAATCCTCTTGAAGCTTGGACTATGCTTTTTCTCTTTAGGGGTTTGGCGTGAAGACTGGTTGAGACCATACTTGCCAGCGTCGAAGTTGTCGGGAAGGCGTACTTTGTTTTCGGGAGTTTGGGGCTTCGCGAATTCCAGCAAAACGCCAGGAAGCTCGAGAATACCGTTCAACTTAGAACTTTCAGAGTTAAGCGCGTCACTTTCATCCGGACTTGCATCCTCGGCGCCGGAACTGTACAGCATAGTCCAACGCTTACGGGGGGTGGCAGTAGTCTCTTTGAGATCGATGGCCACAGGCTTGGCCTCATTTGCCTGAGGTTGCTCGGATGGCGCCGCAACTTTGGCCGTTGTTGCGGCCTTTCGCGTCTTCATTCCAGGTGGTCTTTTGCTTTGAGGGGCAATTGCTGTTTCGCGCTTGGGTTTAGGCTGGTAAACGTCGCGGCCCTCACATTCGGGCTGGGGCTCGAAATCAGACTCAAGCTCAAACTCAGGCTCGGGCTCGGGTCCATGCTCGGTTGGCTGCATCTCAGCCCTTTCCACAACCCACTGGTTGACTTGCTTGGCCTTGTCTGCAGTGAGGAAAGGATGGGGAGGTGCAATGCCAGAGATCAAGGTCTGAGGGTTTGAGGGGTCATTCTCGATTATCGCTTCGATGTCAACAAACTCGTCCGCCTTTCCGATTTCCTGGAAGGTAAAATCATTCCAGATGCGAGACGGCCCAGCTTCCTTGCTGATAGGTGGTGGATTGAGTCGATTATCCGGTATAGTCCACACTTGAGAATCCTTGTTGAAGGACAGGCCCACGGTGACGCACATTCGACAAAAGTCAATGGTGGAACCCATTTTTGGATCCTCCAGAACACGACGGGGAGCATCAGGATTCACACTGCTGTAGTTCTGGATACGGAAGCGGCTATCGTCCTTGTGTGGGGTAATCATGATGTTTGTGACGTTAGGAGCGAGAGAGAAGGACTAGAAGAACTTGTCAGTTGTCAATCATAAGAACGGGTTTTGAGCAGCACGCCTACTGACCAAGGGCTTCTCAATTTGAGTCAGCTTCGTCAGAGCATCGTCCACATCCTCGGTGGTCCCGGAAACCCGTATGCCTTGTAATTCATCCACTATTGCGATTTCGGTGCCCGTGGCAATGGCAACACCTGCTAGGACATCATGGAAGTTGCTGGAAAAGCAACCCAAACCCCCGTTAGGAGATTTCCAAAACTTGGTGGCATGATTTCTCGAGTAAGGAACGATATCTTCATCGGAATCATCGTCCAGAGCTACCAGATTCGGCCCTTGATACTTCTCAGGTGAGCTCATGGCGGGGAGACCCTCGTCAGAAAGCACTGCAGGAACATCCAGTTGACGCACTCGTGGCATCTGAATCAAAACGATCATCAGTATAAACAACCACTTGACCTTTTGCACAGTCTTATTAGCAAAGAAAGAAAAGGGATGGCTTACGTCTAGGAGATCTTTGTCTTTCTGCTCTTCTATGAAGCCGGAAAATGCAGATGCAACCTTTACGACAAAGCTCTCAACATTGCCTTTGGTCACAAGTACCTATTGGAAATCCCGGTTAGGTACAATGGAGTGAAAGGACATGGGGACCAACATCGTCTGTCTGGAAATATTCGAGCGAATCAACCTGAGGGATTGTGTTCCTGGTTTTGTTGCGTCAGTTGAATAACTAGCGTGCGTGCTATGGTCGATACACACTTGATCTCTATCTCTATCTCCTTAATCTGTTATACTTTGGTCAGCAGAAGACTCATCGGCATCCTGTTCATTAAAGTCATCACATCTCACCCCGATAGCTTCGAAAGCCCACATGGAGGCGAGCGTCAGTCTTTGCTTCGTCGCCATTGTGTCAACACGTCAGGAACAGCAGTGCCCGCACTAGCTGAGGTCGGTTCAGAAAGGAAGAAACGTGGTCGAGAAAGCAAGATTAAACTGATGGTAATAAAGAAGAATTGAGGAACGGAGTGATGCTCAATTGAGAGATATTGCGAAGCTCGTAGGATGATGAGGCGGTGCTCCTAGTTTCCCCAAAGAAGAAGGAAGACAAACGCAACACTATATGAAAACCAAACGAGGAACAACTTCTCTCCTTAGTCACCAGAATCACAGGTGAATAAAAAAGAAAAAGAGGTGAATGACAATGGGTATTCCGTAGGGTGGTTGATTTGTTTAATACAACCAGTCAGTAAATCAAGAGGGTAGATGCAGCCACTAAGTGAATGTATAGTTCATCTGTAGGCGGATAGATGCAGAAAAGAGTCAAGTCATGGACAGTCTCCCAAGGGCGAACTTATTCACTCTCCCATTGACACATCATAAAGGATAAGGAGGAAGTGGAAGGCTTGCTATGATATGGTAGAAATTGTGATTGATTCCCTGTGAATGCAGTGAATTATATATAGGTACCTCTTTGGGCTCTATCCAGAAAAAGAGAAGTCTCCCCTGAACCGCATTCTTCAAAGGACATTTGGCCGAGGGTCTTTCTCTGATGTGGGCATCTGATCTGATTCTGCTTCAGTTGCTTTCGCCTCATCAAGTTCAAAATGGGACTGAACCGACTGAACCGACTAAACAGACTAGAATGTGTATGAGGGATACTTCACAGCTCAAGCCAGGCTGTAGGGAGGAAGCCAGATAACAGGTCATCATGTCCAAGGTGGACACCAGTTCACCTAAGGGAAGATAGATCATAAGAAAACCCTATCATTCATCGACAAACCGACAATAGCAAGAGATAGCTAAAGAGAAGACATGGCAGGGAGATGAATTGGCGAGACGACGTTGGTATTCTGCCATCCCTCTATACATTTATCTGGTATCCGTATTCATTATGGTCTATTTGCAAACAAAACGGAACTCTAATCAAAGACCGTCAAGCAAAGGAAACAGCGTATGTCCTAGGGTATCAAGCGCTCCCAAACTCCGGGAAGTATTAAGCAACTGAGACACCAAGTCAGATGAGTGAGCCATGAGCTCACTGCGAGCAGTATATAGAACAATTCCAACATACCGTCGTAACGTTGGACTAGTGCATTGCGGTTGAATGAGTCTGCTTGGACGTGGATCGTAGGCGGGGATATGGGTAGGAGAATGGCACAGCACGGAAAAAGTTAGAGGATCGATCTTAGTTCGCTGAGTCCAGGATCGACGAAGACTTTTGCCGACGGACTGCGTCCCTCGAAGGCGAATCTGTTGCTTGTTTGGTGCCTCTTCTGCAGGATTGATTATGCGTAAAATGGATCGCTCGTTCATTGGGCGTCTTTAACCTCGTTTTTGACTTGAATAGCCCATTTCATTTTTTCTTCAGTCTCCTTGAGAGATGCGAGAGCACTGTCAATGTTGGCTGCGCCCTGATAGTTCCTCTCAATCAAGGCCCGCACCTCCTCATCGTGAGCCTTTTTGTATGCTTCGTAATCCTCGAAGAGCCGATCGAATCTCTCTCTACCTATCTCGATTTCACGATTTTTCTGCGCCATCACCGCGTCCAGGCGTTCTAGCTGTACGTCTCTTTTTTCATGTTCTGCTTTCAATGCGAGGAAATCATCTCGTATCGCTTTAAGTTTCCTCTGCTGATCTGCGCGTTCACGTTGTCCGGCTTTCGCAAGCACGTCGTACTGTGTCCGAGAGTGATTGGCAATCTCCTGTAACTCCGCGCATTTTCGATTGAATTCGTCCCGAGCCTCGTTCATCAATTGCTGGAACTTATCAGTCTCTCCCTCCGCTCGACGTCGTCTTTCTTTCTCGCTCTGTACTTCGGCCCGTAACTCCTCAATTTTCTTGTCCTTGCGCCGGATCGATTGTAGATTCGTTTCGTTGGCCTGCTCAAGATTTCGAAGGCGCTCGGTCATGTTCTGTACCTGCATCTTAAAAGCATCGTTCATCCGCTGGGTCTCTTCCGCCCGTGAGCGATATACACTGCATTCGCGCGTCAAACGTGCGATTTCTTCTTGGAGATTATGTATGACACGGCCAGATTTGCCTGTGGTCGCATGGCCAACGGCCGAGGACCATTCGGCAGTAGCAGCATCGCCGTTCGGAGGATTGGAAGTAGTACGTGGGGACGCGGATGTGGAATCTAATAAGATGCGCAAAGACAAATCAGCATTCAGAATTCGAAGCAAGCAGCTAGTTTCAAGTATCGCCACGTTGATATGAGATGGAGAGGCCTACCCGGAGAAGTTTCTACGGCTGTAGTTGCCTTTTGGCATTCAGGGGAGTTGACATCGAATAAACCATTGTACTGATGCATATTCAACCGGGTTTCCACATGAGGTAGACTGACACGAGGGGGTCTCGGAGAATCTAACGTAGGTGACGCAAGCGTCTCCGGGTCAGCATTGTCACTTTCTGCCCTTGCAGCATTCTTCTTCGATCGCACCAGCCTGGCCATTATAGGGGCCGGGGGGTCGGAATGCAGGCTAAGTGTTATTAAGGAATGGCAGTCTCGAAGAAGTAGCGATCGGACCTTGGGCAGTAGCAGTAAGTGAACAGACGGGCGATGTCGATGGTAATCGCCTGCAACACCGAAGCTATCCCTAATGCCCAAGGAAGGTGCGAAGCGAAGGAGGTGCAAGTCGGGGATCTCGAAGCTCCGGAATGCATGGGAATGACGACGGGAATAAAGACAAAGAGACATACCCTTGTGGAGATCAAGGATGGGATGCAAAGAGCTCCAGCTGAACTATTAACATGATGAGTTCTATGCTTTGTCATCGCCGAGACACATAACATAGCTGCAGTGCGATAGATAGAGATCGGGCTGGAATAGTCCAAACTAGCAGCTGAAGGTGGATAACTTACTGTCACAAACTGCGCACAGTAGAGAGTAATCAAAGAGCGAAATTGGATACAGCTTAATGAGTGTAAACGAAGGGTATACAGGTTCCAAAGAGATATATAACTGAAGGGACTACTGTCAAGAAACAGCAGCAGCGACCGTTATCATCAAGAATTGATGAGTGACGAGGTTTTATAATTATCCGGTCAGGTACAAATGAGCAGCGGGAACATCCATGGAGGAGAGCCAGCCGCTAACAGCGGACACTAACAGCTTTGTGTCCAACAGCGCACATCGATTGTGAAACATGACCTTGAAGTGCTTTGTGCTCATAATCCAACTATCCATCTATCCCCAGTTCCATCTCTTCAGTAAAGCAGTGATGAATATAAATATACTCTGGATGAGGCTTGCAGGGTCGAGCAGACAGGTCGATGCTTGAGCTACCCTGAAAGGTACAGCAGAATTCAACAACAATCACGGCCCGATCTCTTGAGGAGGCACCCCGACGTCACAGGACTTTTTGAATACAATGGGGACTATGTACAACGAACTTAACCAGAAGCATTCCGAAGCCAATGTGTTCAAGCGTTGGCAAATGATGACAGGATGCCTGGCCCCGAAGTTGGTCACCTAAATACCCCTCTATTCGGTAACATAGAACAAGAGGCCTGCTGTGGCCAGGATCCAGCCAAGGTACACGTTTCCAATAGAAGCACCGCTGGTTTCTAACTTAGCCGCCATTGCGCTTTTGCCGTGAGTGAAGTTTGAGTTAGATCCCTTGGACATATCTTCAACATTGGTGAATTGGGCATTGTTACCCTTGGCGACCTCTGTTTCCCACTCGTCGTCAGATGAGGTGTCGGTGCCGTGATGGGGTGAGGCGTCATCCTGAGCGGCGGGTGTGGAGATGTTCTGCGGCTTAACGTCTTCTGTGGGCTTTGGGGGCTTCGGAGGACTTGGTGGCTTGCTGCCAGGGTTCCCAAGTGTCATCAGTCCTGAATAGTTCTCCTCGGCGCCTTGCTGGATTTGCAGGGCATAGTCTGAACCATCGGGCAAGGAGTCATCGGGAACAAAAGTGAAGGATCCGCCTTTCGCATTGGTAGTCAGGACTTGGACGTGGTCGAGGTTCGTTGCATCGCCTTTACGCAGATAAATGGTGACAGGCTAAGCGCAGCTATGGTGAGTAAGGGATGATCATCTGACGGAAAGAGAAGGGCATTCGCGTTTACGCACAACATCAGGAGCTCCCAGCCAAGTCACCGTAGCTGGTTGGCCATGGTCGATGTGGGTTGGCCATGTTGTAAAGGCCAACATCTGAGCGGCGCCCAGCTGAGCCAGGCAGACCCATGTTGCCAGAAAGGTCCTCGAACAGAACATCGTGATTTGGAACGCTATCAGAATTAGCTGCCAGTGATTAATCGCTTGGGCAAGAGAGGCACCAACATCAAAGCAAGAGCAAGAGGACAGCTAAATAGTTGACTGGTGTCTAATGCACATAAAGATGCAATGTACCCGATATGCTGATCTTTGGAGATGGGCCGGGTATTCGAGAACAGCAGCGTGGCGGGTTGTAGATGGTATAAGGGCGCCACCTGAAAGACCAGCGGCAGGCACGATTGAGTGGATCCCTTTCGAGTCGTCAAGCCTGACTTCAAGTCCAATGACTCCTTCCTTATACCGGCGATGAGATCTCACTGATGAACGAGGTAGCAAGGACGTGGCGACTATGGATCCCGCGGAAAGAACGACTGAAGGATCGAACTTCGAAGTGATGACCACGCGATCATTGCGAGCTGCTGAATCCCTTTCATTTATGGAAAAACAACAAAAGGTATTTGTCACTCGCGTCGTACATTCTGAACGCATTCCAATCAACAAAGTGGCGTGTATCACATAGGTCGTACTCTGAGGAATGTGCTTCGACAGCGCCAACTCAACTAAACTTGCGGAATGAGATTTGAATGTGCATTTACTTGTGATAGTGATCAACATGCTGAGCCCTTGGGCAAGGCTTGAAGGGTCTGGCCGACTGTATGGTGCCTCAAGGTAGACTCCGTACGTCGCTGAGATGAACGGTGGTTGCCCCAGGCGTTCCTAGACGACTATCTCAACCTCTTTGACCTTTCAGAGTTGGATGTCTTAAGAAGCCATGACACATCCTTGGAAAGACAATCTTGCCTGTGGCATGTGCATTAGCAACGAAGAAGGATCTCCATCAACCGATATGTCTAGTTGGATTATCTCTAGTCTCAAGCTACATAGTAGAAGAGCAGCCTCGCTATAAACCGCTCCCCTCAGCTATGCAACTTGAAAAAGAGCCCAACTGCCAGCTTCCGGCTCCTGCGATCAATCGTGCATCTCATGACGAATAAACAATCCCTTGAATAAATATCTTTTCGACCCTCTTGTTGGTTGACATTCTCGAGTCAGTTGTGTTTTCCTGCAAGGGGTCGACGAGCCTGCATTGGAGGCTGAGAGGCCAGAGCTCAGGGGAGATCGACCTAATCGCATGTAATAGCCATGCCACTAACGAAGCTTGAATCTATCTACCAGTCACTGCTTGATCCACCTGATCAGATCATGATCATCCTTGCGAAAGATGAAATGAATGAAAGTTTGTACTTCTCTCACCCTCTGTTCTCCTACCACCTAATCTCAAGTGCCAAGGCAAAGTCAATTGCCAGTGGTGTACTCTTCTCGACGGAGCTCACTCATGCTCTCAAAATCCCTCGTTTTGTTTCTTAGACTATGATCAATTCATAATGCCGTGTGGGTGGACTTAGAGGTACCATGACAATGGTAACGGTGACATGCACGATGGTTACCGAAACCGGACACTATATCAATGTTGGATAAGACAAGGCCATAGTAAGGAGATTAAAACAATCCGACGGGGGGACCCGCCTGACTGGAGAGGTAAAGATCCAAGCTTTATCGCTTATTGTAATGCAAGAACGCCCGGATGCATCGGTCTGTTCTCTATCCCAGTCGCAATTGCTTGACCGCCACCTGCATCAGCGGAAACCCTTCCATGCTCCTTCCACACTTGAGGTACATACTCCATCCCAGGTAGTCAGGATGTCACAGGTACCTTAGATGTTCGTTCCCCATGACGGAACTTCGCTTTCGACTACGCTCGTTCGCCCATATACGCTCGTTCAGAGATTTTTTGTTCAATATCGTACTTTCCATCTTTTTCCCTGGCATAGTTGGTCACAGTCATTCGTTTAAGGACACCTTCGTTGAACGGTTCTTCGTTTTGCCCTCGTTTTATCATCCTTAACATTGGATAATATTCCATCTCCTTCTAGCCTCCAAACCGTTTGGGGCATGTCAGATCTTCCGGCACTGGAATGTCGCAAAGTGATTTGCGAAGTGATCTAATCGTCGGCCTCGGGCATAGAGATCAACATCAGCAGACTTGCCAGGAATCCGAGCCGGTATCGCTTGCTGCAGCATCACAGAGTATCGATGGGTCACAGCGATTCTACCGCTCTGTGAACAGACAAGATGAAAGCCAGGAGGTCGGTCCCGAGAGGCCCCAATCGGCCCACTCGGAAGGTCTGGTCACATTGGAAGAGACGCGCGATGGGGCTTTGCATACACTCGCTTTGTGTCGCAATGTCATCATAACCCTCGAATTGACACGCCTGCGCAAGTCCCGAACTGGATTTTCCTATTGGATGTCATTTTGGGCGCGGGTATATCAGAGACCGCTCGCTAGAAGTCTTTGTTCTCACGTTGCGAGAGCGTTGAATAAGGTCGATGCGCTCTTTCGCGCTGTCTCTCAAGAGCTTCAACAACTTACGTCGCGAATGGAACACGCGGTCGCCGTGGCTTCCTCCGAGAAGGAGATTCTGTATCTGCTCGAACGAATGGAGGAGGAAGTGAGTGCGCGTCAACGACGGAGGCGTCAAAAAGCCCAAAGCATCACGGAGAAGATGCGTGCCAAGATAGAAGCGATACCCGTCAGAGTCACAGACACGCTTTTTGACGATCTAAAGCGTGGAGTGTTAGCCCTGGACGTCTTTTGTGACTATCATCCCGGAGACCCTGTTGCGGAGGCAAATGAGATGTTGTGCGGAAACAACCTCGAATACCCTCCGCATCCATCGTTGGGAACGATTGGACCATATGACTACCGCCGAATGCAAGAGTCGCAACAGTCTGCAGCGCTCGACGCCTTCATGCCTTTGGCGACCCACCCCGGTAATTCGTACTATCATTACGTCGAGAGATTGATGAATCAGGACGACAGCTTTTCAGGTTGGACAGCGACAGAAGGTTTTTCAACGGACAGTTGGTGAGATTGGCAGGGTGTTGTTCGAGGGAGATCACACTCTTGATAGATGATTTGGTATAGTTGAAGTATAACTCGGGATTTTGATACGACCTCCAGCCAAGTCAAGGCAAGGAGTAATGACAATCATTAGATAGTATGGATTGCTTTTCGAAAAAGCTTTTAGCATAGAAGTCTATAGACAATCAAACGGATTTGATAACAACAAACAATATACGCTAGAAGCAAATTACCTGCATACCCATGCAGATTTCGCGATTTTTCGACCCGTCATGCGAAATTCCATAAGCCTCTCATGAAGTTACCAGGCGCTGTGTCCTGGCCTCCATCTTCCTCGAGTAATCGGTCGGTGAATATTCGCTTGGGGATATGGTATTCCACGACAGGGATTCTCTTGAACGGCTTGTCTTCCGTACCGAGCTCTGCCTGCAGCATGCCTTGGTAGGTATAGTCCAGGAAATCTTCAAGATTGTACGCCTGTTTTGTAAACTGTTCCGAGATAATCCGGGCAATCGCAGCGACATTGGGGTGGTAATGGGACTGTAGCGTCTCGATCTCCCATAGACTGCTTTCAATGGCCTTCGTGCGAGTTGGGTCTCCTTCGTTCACATCGAACGGGTCATCCATGCCCTCGGCTTCGAGAGTGGCCTTTGTTTGCTCGTCGCGGACGACGCGGTGGAGCATGAAGGTGCACGTCGGATGATTCTTGAGTAGATTGTAGATGAAGGGAACGATGACCACGATAGCGGTGGGAGGTGCATTAAGCGCGAGACGAGAGAGACGCTTGATAAAGCTGGCAATAAGGGCAGCGGGAAGGTGGGTGGAGGAGAGGAAGGTGTTCATCAGCCGGAAGAAGCGAGAGCGGTGTTTCGAATGCAGGAGATCGGCGTCGAGGAGGGAGTATAGTTTGTGGTAGAATTGGGGATAGTCCAGGTTCTTCTCCTGGATTAAGTAGAAGAGACCAGAGAGGGCGAGGAGGGATGTCGCGCCGCCGACGTTGTATGAATCTGTCAGGAAGTCCATGAGCAGTTCGGGGCGGTTGAACCACGGCTCTATGGTGTAGACCATGTTGCGCAGCAGCGTTTTGCGTTGAGTGTGGGAGAGGTCGTTCTGAAGTATAGCCAACCAGGCATTCTGTGCCTGTTTCTTGTGCGAGTTCACTGAGAGGAGCTTCTTGTTTTGTTTGCTCGTTTTGGTGTGGAAGTTTTCAAACTTGTGTTGAGGACCAGGGACATTGTCGCATTCCGATAGCATTGAGATGAGGACGTCGAGAACTTCGGAGCTTCTTTTTGTCTCTGCATAGTCACTGGTATCCAAAGTCAGTATACAACCGGTTTCTCGGAAAAGAGGAATCGGGAACGTACGAGACTTGCACGAAGGTGTAGTATCTCACATCCTCGTATGCCTTCGCGAATTGATCCAAAAATTCCGACCTCAACGCCTGCCCGTTCTTTGCTTCGACGACAGCCTCGAATACGTTCTTGAAGAGACCAGAAAGCCAGACCTGGGTATCATCGCCCGGTAGGTGTGTCGCACGTTCGTTGATAATGCGCATGCATAGAGTCAAGGCAGTAACCTGCCACGCTATCAGAAAATGCCAACTGAGTGTAGGGGAAGCCTGCATGACAAACCTGAGAGGAAGGATCTGCTTCACGAAGGATTGATACCAGTGCCTTTTGGTATTCCCGACAACGTTCCTTCAACCAAGCAACGATGATCTTCTCGTTCTCTGCTGCGCGACTGGTCTCGGTCAGATTCCCAAGAGCCATCAATCTGCTAAAGACTCGACAGAGTGACACCGCCACGGCCAAATTAGGCCTTCCCTCATTTCCATCCGCATTGAGCATCGAAATAAGTGTCACAATGTTGTTATAGTACTTTCGCGATTCAGAAATCTGGTCTTCTAGCTCTTGGATCTTGGCCATCTCTCCATCGCTCTGAGTCTCAGCCACTGCTCGGCGTTTGGACGAAGGAACTCCGCCTTCTTTGACGTTCTTTCGCTTCTTGAAGCCTGTAGCTCCGTCCGTAGACAGCGGCATTTTGTTCGCAAAAATTTGATTATAAGTATTTGAGCTCG